TCAGTATATTATTTAGAAATCTATGATGGGGCTGGGGAGATGACTTAGGGGTTAAGAGCACTAGCTGCTCTTGCAGGGGAACAGGGTTCAGTTCTCAGGAACCACATGGCCGCTCACTGTTCCAGGGTACCTGAAGCCTTTTTGACCTCTGTGTTCACTGCATGCATGTAGTGCACTTACACACACACACACACACACACACACACACCAAAATAAATAAATAAATATAAATGCATGGCGCAAGAAAGAATTTTCTTTTTCTACTCTTCTCCCACGAAATGAAAGGATAAATAAAAGGAAAGCATTGATTAAGGCCAACATAATCTGAAAGATTCTCAAGTCCCCCAGACTCTCTCAGCCTTGGTTTTCTGGTCTGACCTGATGTTGGAGCTTGGGCTCATTTCAGAATATGTCTCCCTCTTGTTTGATAGCTCACAGGATCATGAACAGGAGTTAATATAACTGTTCAGGGATGTAAAACAAAGTTTATGCTATTGTAAGCTTATGCTAAGAGTGTGAATTTGGAGCTCAGCCTTAGGAAAAGCTGCTGCAGAGGGGGCTGGTACCAGTTGAAAAGATGGAGGTTCAAGAGGGAGATCTCAATATAAAAATCAAAGCATCAAGAATACTTCAGGGCATAGGCAAGAACCTTTGGCAAAAGACTTGCATGGCATAGGAGATAATTTCAAGGAATTGAAAAGTAGGACCATATACATTAAAAAGCTTCTTTATAGCAGAGGAAGCAAACATCAGAGTGAAGACAAGCCCCAGAATGGGGGGAAATTTCTTGACAGTTAAATATTAGACAGGAACTATTATCTAGAATACATAAAGAACTGTAAAAAAAAATTAACCCACCCCCAAAGCATCTAGTCAGTAAGTGTCAAGAGAAAACAATTAAAACTGTTTTAGATTGCATTTCACCCTAGTCAGATTTGCTATCACCGAGGAAACAGAGGACAACAAATGCTGGTGAGGGTGTAGGGAAAGAGGAACCGCTATTGACTGTTAGTAGAAATCAGAATAGAGGTCCCTCAAACCTAAGAACAGAACTCCCATATGACCAGCTATACCATTCTTGGGTATGTGCCCAAAGGACTCTTGAGTCAGCGAGCTGCAGAGATACTTCATGTTGGACATGTTGTTTATTGCTGGAATATTCACAATAGCCAAGATATGGAACCGGTCAAGATCCCCTTGAACAGAAGAACATACAATGGAAATGTGATAAGTAGACACACTGGAATTATATTCAGCTGTGAAGAATAACGAGGTGACATTTGAGGAAAATGGATGGAACTAGAGATCATTATGTTAAATAAAATAAGCCATACTGAGAAAAGCACTAAGCTTTCTTTCATATTTGTGTGTGTGTGTGTGTGTGTGTGTGTGTGTGTGTGTTGAAAGTAGAAAGGGGGTCATGAAAGGGGAAAAGAAGGGAAGCACTATTTGGAGAGGGGAAGAGATCCAGCCAGAGGAGGATGGAGAGAATTGGAGGAGGGAAGAAGATGAGCAAGAATGAGATACAATGACATATATTTATGAAAATGCCATAATGAAGCCCATTATTTATATGTTAACTTAAAATTTTAATTTAAAAAATAAAAAGAGGGAGGACCATCTGCTGGATGGAGAATTGGTACCTTCCCAGTTGTGTTGACAACCTGTAAGGCTAACATTGACTCTTAGGAAGTAGAGAGCCCTGGAGGGTGAGATTCTAGAGATAAAATAAAAGCAAATAGAAATGGGGGGTGGGGAGTGGGAGAAGTGGAAGTCAGTGAAGGGTGAAGGAGACTGTTGCCACTATGAAAAGTCGTGGGTGTGACCAAGCATAGGCTCAGGGACACTGGCCAGCTTGCCTATTGGGTTGGGCACAGCAGTGGTACCAGGAGTGGATGTAGTATTGCCTGCCAGTTGGCTGACCTCACAGCTGGCCCTTATGACTGCAGGCCCTTTCCTCCCTGGTCTTAGCTGAGTTGTTGGAGCTGCTCCAACCTGAGGGAAACACACCAGTGCAGAAAGCTTGAGGAAGCAAAGTGCAGGAGATGACCCAAGTTCTGACAGCCTGCCAGAATGTATGCTACTTGGTACTGGCAAAGACATTACCATAATGAATTCTGACATCATTGCACTGTCTCAGTCAAGGGTGCTGAAATGGAACAAATGACCTCATGTCAGGGGTCCCTGGAAACCCTGAAACCAGGGAAATTCCTTGGTGCTCAGTTTTCAGTTAAGAGTGGAAACTTTAACCAACAGTTTGTTCTAGATATTTAATGTTTGTTCAGCATTTTAGGGACAAACTAATAGTTTAGAGATATGAAAGCCATCATGTGGATTTTGTTCATTTCCCTCATACTGGGTGATTTCATGACATTTAGAATATAATTCTTGCAGGCTGATTTCCTTTTTACTTCCTTGCTATCATGATTAAATATTTAGCTTTTTTTCTGTTCAGTGGCAAATTGGAAGTGATTGGTGGAGTGATATGTGGCTTTAACATGTTTATCATTGACTATTTACTGAGAACTGTAGAACTTGGTACTTGGGGTGCTTGTGGCCATTTCTAATATTTAAAACATGCTAGCCCTTCTCTGCTATCCTTCCAGAGTGCCACATTCATTTGAACAGGCCACAGCCTCAGGCCTGTTCCATTCTGCAACTGCTCTAAATTCTTTGTTTATGAACAGAATTCTTCTGAGCTGAGGAGAGCTCGATTCTGAATCCTGAACATGGTCCAAGAGCAAGCTGGGAAGAGCTGGCGGCAGCTTGCCCTCCCTCCAAAAGCTTCTTAGGGAGTCCGTATCTCTAGTTGGTTTTCCTTCCCCAGGCTCAGCCTCCTTCTGTCCTGGAGATTTTTGCATCCCTCCAGCAGAGGGCCTCCGTCCTGCATGGGAGAAACCACAGCCAGTCAGAAAGGGAAGTTGGGTTTCTCTAGGCATCATGTATCAGATAGCCAAGGGCATAACCATCTGGCACAGGGCTTCTTTACCTGGCCTAGTGAATTTGCTTTCCAGTTTGAACCAGTACCTAAGGAGCATCTCATTAACTGTCATCACCAGAACACAGAATTTATGCTATTTGTATGTGTGTGAAGTAATTTGCATATCAGTGACATGAAATACACATCTGAGCTCTTGGATTCATGTTTGTTCTTTCCTCTTGAGTCATTTCTGCTCTAGTGCTTATTTCTTCTGCCCATGGTGGTAACAGCATGGTGGAAAGCTCCCAGCTTGCTCTCTTGCCAGGCTTTGAACTTGAACAAGCCCTGTCACTTCTATGTGAGCTAGATTGTGTTGAATCATTTCTGGCTATTCTGAAAATTCCATGCTTCTATAACTCTATAAATAGTCCATTCTGTAAAGAGGACATGAGAGACACCCCAAACGACCAGGTCCTATTTGTAGCTTCCCCACAGTTATAATGTTTCGCTTTTACGTGCTTGTTCAAGGTCTAATTTCCACAGTGGCAAAGCAGTTATTTATGAGGGTCTCTCAGGGTCTCTCCAGTGACATTGCTTCAGGCCTGCCCTTATTTCATCAGTCCAGAGTGCCACCCTTTATGTACACAATGGGCATTTAATCAGTGATCTGGAAATAAAATTAGCTACCATAGCTATTCCCACCCCTTTTAGCTATGACTGTTCCCTGCCTCCCACGTTACTCTGAAGCACTGAGCCTCAGCCCAGAGCAATGTGTGTTGTTGCCCATGAACACGAATCCCATAAAAATAAGTGAAGGGATGGGCAGAGTGGATTGCATGTCCCAGAGCCCATACCCCAATTTTTGTTCATGCCTCTGATGGAGTCCTGAATATAGGCTTCTCATTTTATGCCACCACAAAGCGTCTGACCTGTCATCTCATCTGTGTAGGTGAGGGGGCTGAGGTGTATTTACATACTGGGCCAATCAGCCATTGTCGTCAAGTTCTGGGCTGTTCTTGTGAATGAGAACTCTGGGAAGTCACGTGAGCATCAGATATGAATCAGCCACCTTCGTGGTGCTTGCATCTCATAGAAGCCACATTTTTATCTCATACCTTTGCATGGTTGAAAATGTCATCCAAACAAGAGTTGTCTGTCACAGCCAGTGGAGGCTTTTCACAGTATTGCACCTGCTGATCTGGTCTGTGGCTTTCTGGAAAGATGAGATGTGTTCTAATGAGCATGTTATAAATATCACCAAGTTACGTTGTAGATGGTGGCAGTGCTCAACGTAAAGGCAACACCCAAAGAGGCCAGATCCAGCACCCTGAGAAGACAAGTGGGGCCTGGATATATTGGCCAGGATGTTCTAAAAAATTATTTGTCCTCAGTGAAAATGTTGCTAGACATGTCTTGTGGCGCATGTAGGATGATGAATGGGATGTGTTATGATTGCACACAGGAAGCCCAGGCACCAACCCGTACACAGTGGCCCTCAGAGAGACCTTTGGCCCTTTGCTTCTTTTTGACAGTTCAGGGTTGGAGGTTCACGTGATGGACATACTAGGCAGGGATTTTCTGTTCTGAAAGATGTGGAGTGATTAAGCAAGGCTGTTCCTCCTTTTTCATACCTTTTCTTTTTATCCTGCTCATGAATTTTCAGCCTTATCCACATTGCATGCAGTGCCTTGCTGATGTCCTCTACTGCCCAGTGTCACCATCTCCCTTTTAAGTGAAAGAACAGACTCCAGTACCCACTCTAGGGGGGGTGGGGACATCGTGAGTTTGAAAATAGACTCTTGGGAGATATAGCTTACCTTTTTTTCTTTGCTTCAGAATTGATTTTAGGTTTTTGTCTATTTGAGGAAATTTGATTTAGTATGATTTGATTTACACACACACACACATCATTAGTGTTGTTATGTCAGTTGCTCAAAGACAGTTATGTGTAGACTAATCATTTGCTTGAATTCTCGCCACCAGCTTTTACATAGACGAAAATGCATTGGAATGTGTGTATAAAATGCTTGATAGTAGTACGTGCCCCATGGAAACCTTGTCCAATTCTGTGTGCACTCAGGAACTTGACGAGAGGAGTCGGGAGATTCAGAGAGCTTCTCAGAGCAGTGGAAACGAGAACGACACAGAACCTGCGAATGGTAAGTGGGATTGACATGAGGCATCAGTCCCATGGATGTCTGCGTTACACATGTCCATATAAAACTGTGTGTGAGCAGTGATTAGCCCACTCTAAGAGGACATTTTAGTGCTTCAGCATGTCTAATGCTCAGTTCCAGAGCACTGTAACCACTCAGTGAAGCCCCAATCTCACCAGTAATCTGTTCCCATTCTTTCACTCCCCTGCTCTTGACAGTCACTAGTTACATTTGTCTTTCTGTTGGATTTGCCTGTTTTGAACATTTCACAGTATAGTCTCTTATGACTGCCCCTTCGTTTAGCATAGGGTTCTTCCACAATGCCTCAGTAGTTTCTTTTCATTGCCAAATACTGTTCTACTTTCTGAGTCCACACATTTTATCCACCCAGTCTCTTCAGTTGATGGGTACTTAGGTTGTTTGTTAGCACTAATGCTTCTGTGAGAACACTGTGATCAGGTTTTGAGTGGACTTTTGTCTTCTTTCTTACTGTGCACTACGGTGTAAAACTACTGGGTCATATGAAAACTCTGGGTTGAACAGTTTGAAGAGATTCTGTTTCCCAAAGTAGCTACCCCGTTTTCCATTCCCCCAAACAGCTTTCTCTACAGCCTAGCTAGGTGACACTTGTTATTTTCTGTGTGGAGCCATCTTAGTGAGTGTGCAATGCTGCGGTAATTTTCACTTGTATTTCCTTGATGGCCAGTGATGCTGATCCGTCTGTTTATGTGTTCTCTCTTGAAGTCTACACTTTGCATCCTAAGAAAGGTGGGATGAGGGATGAGGCCTCTCCAGGACGCCCGTGTGTGGGAGGGGTCAGATGTGTGCTTTTGATTCATATTAATTCTTGTAAGACTTGCAAATGAGATTCTCAAGTACTAATTGTTTGGATAATGATATGACCATAAAACTTAAAAGAGAAGTACAAAAGATAGTGTATCTCATATAAACTCTGTATAGTTTAATCATCAAGTGAAGGCCTAGTGCTCACTGTACTAATAAATGTCCTATGTCACAATTACTGTAACAACACTATATAAATCTGCAGTTTGTCTTTTATTACCCATGTCTGTCCTTAATTGGACAAGGCTAAGATAGTCATATCATGGGAAATGCAGGGAGAGCTTCACTTGGGCATCTCCAAGGTTTTAGGATGTAGAAATATGGTTATGGGGCTAGGCAGCTAAACAGAAGGCTTTTCTAGGATATGTGGTTTAAATAAGCATCTTTACACACACACACACACACACACACACACACACACACACACACACACACACGCACAGAGTGTACACACAATCAAGACCTTATTAGGCCTTTAATTTCATATATTGGTTTATTTATATTCAGACAAAGCATTGTGAACTTTTAGGGTTCTTTAAGGCATAAGAACCTGCAAATGTGTGTGTGTGTGTGTGTGTGTGTGTGTGTGTGTGTGTACACAATATGAAAATTGTTGCCAGATATCTTATCTTGCTAATTCATTTATTCTCAGAATTTCATGGGGCTTTTCAGTTGATAATTTGAATTGCCTTAAAAGCGCTGAATTGCCTTCAAAAACACTGAGAAGGGTAGTATTTCAAAATGGAGCATTTATGTTAACCCTCAAAGATAATAGAGATAGATAGGCAGATAGACAGACAGACAGACAGACAGATATCTTCCATTGTTTTCTTGAGGTGAGCAGGGAGGAGCCTCCTCAAGTCTTTGTGGTAGCTGGAACTGATCTTAGACACTAGCCATGTGAGGGGGGGACATTTCCCACTCTATGTCACTCTGAATCAAGGTGTGCCTTTGCTCTCAGCTGTTGGCATCATCAAGTGACTTAAACCATTTCTAGTTCACTGTGTGCTGAACTGAAGGAGTGCATTAGAATTATCTGAGGAACTGTGGAGTCTTAGTTAGGGTTTCTATTCCTGTGAAGAGACAGCATGACCACAACTCTTATAAAGGAAAGGTTCCATTGGAGTGGCAGCTTACATTTCTAGAGTTTTAGTCCATTATCATCATATCAGGGAGCATGGCAGCAGGAAGACATGATGCTGGAGAATTCTGCATCTTTATGTAAAGCCAACAGGAAGTCCACTGAGACACTGGGAATATCTTGAACATAGGAGATCTCAAAGCCCACTCTGACTGTGACATGCTTCCTCCAACAAAGACACAGCTCCCAATAGTGACATTCCCGGTGAGCTTATGGGGGCCAATTACACTCAAACTACCACAGGTGGTTTTGGTTTTAGTCAAGTGCTCTGCCAATGATCTGCATCCTGAACTCTATTGAGGAATAGAATACATGTCCTCATCCACAGCTCCAATGGAGCAGGTCTGCGGCAAGGCCAAAGGAATCTATTTTATAACTGTATGATTCTCTTTTCTTTTGGTAATAATTGCTAAATGTATGATGCATTTTTGAGCTAGTAAAGTTGTTTTGTGAACTTGATTTGATATGAAAGCATAGCACAAAATGGATTTAAAAGTATATTCACAGCATTTCACTCCTAGGTACTCCATAGAGTTTAAACAAATTTTCAAACACAAACTTGAACATGAATGTTCATAACAGCATCATTTCTAACAGCCAAAAACTGAAAACAAGCTGAATGTGTGGACAAAATGGGGGCATGTCTGTCTTGTTCGAAAATAAAAGGTGTGGATACTATTAAGCATAAACATGTCTGCATCTTGAAAACACTGCACTACATAAAGGAAACTGATCACAGAAGGCCCATATTGTATTAATTTCTGTGAGAGCTCCTAAATAGGCAAATCTGTAAAGATAGACAGCACATTAGTTGTCCTGAGGGTTTGAGAGGGGGAAAATGAGAAGCCACAGTTTAAAAGGTATAGGGTTTCATTTTGGGGTGACAGAAATGTCCTGGAACTGGATAGCAGTAAGAATTGCACAACGCTGTGAATGTACTAAATGCCGTTGGATTGTACCCTTTAAAACAGTCTCATGGTGAGTGGGGGTTGGGAAAGGTGAGGGGGGGTGTTCTTTATTCATTTATCTTATGGCCATAGTTAGTGGAGGGTGATTCTGACGGCCGACATTTTGAGCAGAAGCCATTAGCTCCTATGACTGCAGTGAGATCAAAGCAAAGCAGTAGTGCAAGGCCCAGGGAAATAGTTCAGGTACTGTGTAGGTCTGGGAAACTGTGTTCTTATGAGATCTTTACAGATGGCTCAGTTGGGGATGATCTGAGTTCGTTATTTTCACATTTTTATGGACATTTAAAGGCAGTCGGTTCTACATAGTAATAATCAAGAAAATTTGCCTTTACCCAGTGGTTCTCAGAAGCCACCAAGCTAATGATTTTGTTGCACTTAAGTTTCTTCAGAGAGTTTTAGGAGGTTTCATATGGATGAAGCCTAGCGAAGCTCTTTTCTGGAACACATTTATTTTAAAAGCTCATTCTCCCGGAGCATCAGCACTCTTTGTACCTTCCAAAGAACACAAAACCTGATGGAAAACCCATTTCCTGAAGTTTTATTTTGCACCTCTGGGTGATTATGGATTGAATATCCTGGGACGCAGGGATTCTGTTTGAAAATGGGGGAAGGGAGACACATGTAGCACACACACACACACACACACACACACCACCTGAACAAAACACACCCACACACATGCAAGAAAAGAGGGAGGGAGAGAGAGAGAGAGAGAGAGAGAGAGAGAGAGAGAGAGAGAGAGCAGGGAAGGAGGGAGAGAATGTCAATATGCCTTTACCAACAAGACCCTTCTTAATCTATACATACCTCTTATGCATCACTTGAGGTAAGGTTCTAGGCAGTGGCGTTGCAGAGGACTCAGGAAAGCATTTGCACTGGCTAGAAACACCGGGTGTTCCTGGGTTTCCATGGGGAGGTGAGAGATAACACCCCCCCCCCAAGCTTTGCAGAAAGCTCTTTCTCATCAGAAACCACAGCCCTCACTTTGCTTTCCCTATTACACAAAGCTGGCTTCTGAGCTCCTGGGCCAGGAGGCCCCAAATGGACTGAAAGCAGGGCACCCCACTACCCAAGTGCTGCATCCTGTGGTGGCAGTGTGATGGAGGGCAGTGCTCTGGTAACAAAGACATTTGAGTATCCACAGTGCATATCTGGCCATGCTGAGGTTCCCCCCCCCACCCTCAGAGGTAGTGTCATTGACATTGAGTCCTGGCTTTTCTCTGGGTTTGAGCTGTAGCAAGCAGCCACTGCAGGGTGATTGTGTAAACATCTGCAGTTTCATCTGCAGTTCACCCCAGAGCTCTTAGAAAAGGCTTAGCTGTGTGTTTACTTATCTTGGGTCTAAAGCCCATTTAATGTATTATGTAGACAAGGCAGCATTCAAGTGCATGGACCTTCTTAAGCAGCTTGCCATGGCTGGAGAATGGCTCGGTGGTTAAGTGCAGAGGACTGGAATTCGGTTCCCAGCACCCGTCCATGTCAGGTTGCTCACAGCCTCGGCAATTCCAGCCCCATCGGGATGCAAAGCTTCTGGCTTCGCCTGCACTTGCATGTCCATACTCCCCAACACACTTTCTCGTAATTAAAAATAAAATAAAACTTTTTATTTATTTTATTTATTATATTTCCTTTTGCCGTAAATGGGTGTGATTTTCACATAGAAGTAAATATTAAGTTCTGATCTTTTAAACTCCAAGTCTTGCAATAGTGTCTCACAGCTGATAGATGACCGAGATGCAGTGGACGGTAGAAAACAGGTTAATAATTGGGTTGTTCTTCCTTTGTGTTCCCAGACAATAGCCAGGCAGCTGGCAGAGATCTTGCTGCGGGGCATGTGTGAGCAGAGCTACTGGAACCCCCTGGAGGACCCTCCCTGCCAGTCCCCTCTGGACGACCCTCTCCGGAAAGGAGCCAACACCAAAACCTACACACTCCCTCGCAGAGCCCGTGTCTACTCAGGAGAGAAGTATGGGACTCCATGGCCTCAGCGGGAGGCCCTGGGATGGGAAGGGGATGTGAGAATGCTTCAGGGCACAGGCCAGGTTCCGCCCATGTGGAACCAGGCGAGCATACTAATTGACCAGTTCAGCAGAGACACCACACCATTGTTCATAACTCGGAGCAGATGTCTGCATGAGTGGGCAGCCACTCTCCTCTCAGTGCTGGGTCACCTTCCTTGGCTACCTGCTATCTGTGCCGGTCTGTGGGATTCTACTCCATGTATCACAAGATCACAGCATCACACAGCAGTCAGCAGCCACTGTTTATAGCCAGAGATAATAGGCACTCATTTCTTCAGCAATTCCCCCATCTTTTAAAAATCGTGTTCTTAGCTAAACCATGTATAAGGACAATGAACAATATGCCAGCAGTTAAGAGGAGATGTCTCTTTAGAGCTTCTTTACTTTTGCAAGATTTTAATTTGGGACTTGGTTTCATTAGAGAATAATGGGCCAGAGGGCTGCTACCTTCTCAGGCCTGAGTCTTCCCTCAGGGTAGAAGGTGGAGAGACAAGGACAAGGGCTAGGAGAAGGTCACGCATCTTCTTAGCACTGCCCCTCAGAGACATTAGGTTTCCTCTCTGCCTGTTGCTAAAGGACAAGGCCCAATGGCATTTCCTCATCTCTACAAAGGGAAAACAGACACTAGTGACTGATGTGGGAACCTCTTGAGTGTTGTCACACTGACAAGGTGCTAAGAGATTACAAGTAGCTTTGGAAACCCCAGAGAGCATGCTGGGGGATAGGCCACCTGGCTTCTGGCTCTTCATGTGACACCCCTGACATTTCTTTCCCTCACAGTCATCTTACTCAGTTTGCATCTCTTATGTGGATTTGGACAAGGGAATGCGTTCTTGACTTTTCCCTGGGACTTACTCTAATTTAGTTTTGATCTTCATTTTCCCAGCCTTGCTAAACCAGTTTGCCTGACTGAGAGGCTTCCTTCTCAGGCCTTGCCTGGACTCCCGAGACACCTGTTCTGGACCCCTTCCCACTCACTGTGAACTGTGACTCCCTTAGGAAAGTGTGTGACTCCCTCAAATCCAGAAGCAGATTTGAGATCCAAATTTTAAGTGACTTTTATGTTTTCAAAACAGTCTGGGTTTGTGTCCCACTTTAGACACTCCTGAGTAGCCTAGGTGCCAGGTACACAAAAGTTCTCGGTTACTAGCCTTCTCATCCAGTGACACCAGGGTGGAGCTTTACCTCAGAGACAGAAATTCTCCTATTTCATTGGCGACTTAGTGCTTCCTTCCTAAACAGCTGTCCCTGTCACTCTTCCAACCCCACTCAGATATCAGCTTCCTACCTTTGTAAGGAGAATTCCGGCAATCAGTCCCACACAAGCTTAAATCCATACAGATAGAGGTGATCTGCTTGGTTTGTACCTGTTTTACTATCTATAACTCACATACAGTCCAGCTCACTGACTTAGAATGTACATTCATTGGCTTCCAGCACACACATAATTACAAATGCATCACCAAAGTTCAGTTGAGAGTTTCTACTTCTCCAAAAATAATGCCCAGTTCTCCTTTTTGGTGTCACCCTTTCTCCCAGTCCCTTAAATTCATATGCATTTTTTGGGATCTATTTGCTCATTTCTTCTATAAATAATTTTTTTAAAACACTGTGATTTTGATCGGAGTTGCCTTGAGCTTGTAACTTGTGAAACAATGCAGGTAATACTCGTATCTATATAGTATTGCATCTTCTGGTCTGAGCACAAGGTGGTTTTATTTATTTATACTTTTAAAATTACTTCAGCAATTATTCATAGTTTCCAGGGTATAAGATTTGTGTTTCTTTTTTAAGTATATTCCTAATTTTTTGATTGTGCACATGTACAATTCTTTTTTTTTCCTTTAATTTGGAAGAGTGTGTGCTGTTTAGTTTTTATTGTAAAGGACACAATCTACAATCATTTGGGAAGAGGGAGCCTTAATTGAGGAATTGCCTAGATCAGACTTCTGTGGGCATGTCTGTGGGACATTGTCTTGCTGGCTAATTTATTTAGGAGGGTCCACTGTGGATGGTACCATCCCTATGCAGGTGGGCATGGTCTATATAAGAAGCTTAGCTAAGCATGAGCCTGTGAGACAGTGAGACAGAGAACAGGACAGCAAGCAGCATTCCTCCATGGTTCCTGTTTTCTGGTTCCTGCCTTGACTTCTGACAGTGTTGGAGTGTGACCTAGGAGTTGTAAGATGAAATAGATCCTTTTCTCCTTAAGTTGCTTTTGACTGAGGTGTTTTTCACAGGGACAGAGAAGCAAACTAGAACAGGGTGCTGGGGATGGAGCCAGAGCCCTGTGCAGTGCACTAGACAGTGCTGGACTACTGAGTCACATCTCAGGCCCCAGAATTGTTTCAGTTTTAAAAAATTGCAACCCACTTTTAACTTTGTTATAGCTTTTAATAATATTATTCTTTTTTTCAATTAAAAAAAATGGTTGTTTTACAGTTTCATACAATGTGTCTTGATCAAATTCACTACACCCCAATCCTTCCAGATTCATCCCTCCCCTCCCCACCTAACTTTGTGCCTCCTCCATTTCTTAAACTGGACAAGTCTAGTTTGTGCTGCCCATCTGCTCTTGGATATGTGGCCTTCCACTGGAGTCTGCTCAGCATGCCAGGGCCACACCCTTAAAGACAGCTGACTATCCTTTTCCCATCACCTGTCAATCACCAGTAGCTCCTTAGGCATGGGGCTTCATGCCCACCTCAGTAATTACACATTACTCTTCACATAAAGGTGGTGAAATTGATGTAGGCTTCTTTCATCCACCAGCTATCAACATGGCCTCTTCTGTTTCATTTTATAGCTATTCACTGCAAGTATATGGAAGAGACATTGATTTTGTATATTGATATTGCATATTACAAACTTACTGCATTTGTTAATTTTCAGTTTTTTAGATTCCTTGTGCTATTCTGTCATCTATAAATATAGTTTTACTTATTCCTTTGGAAGCTGGGTACTTTTGATTTCATTTTCTTCCTTAGATGTAGGGCTAGGCCCTCCATTACTACATGGATAGAAGTGAAGAAAACACCCTTATCCCTGATCTTAAGGCAGGAAAAGTCTTTCAGATTAATCAGTGTTTGCTGGAGGCTTTTAAAGATGTGCAATATCAGATTGAAAACAGTTCTTCCTACTCCTGCTTGCTTTCTTTATCATGGAGTATTGAATTATGTCAGATTTTTTGTGCATTTGTTCAACTAATTGTGAGGATTTGTCCTTTATCGTAGTGCATTTAGTTCAGATGTCAAACCAGCCTTGCATTCCTGGGGTAAATTCTGTTAGGTTGTAGTGTATAATTTTTTAAAATTTGTTTTGGGGTTCTGTGTGTTTGGAGATTTTTACACCTACACTCCTAAAAGATACTATAGTTCTTTAGTTTTCTTATAAAACCTTTGTCTTTTGGGGCATGTGGATAATTTTACTCACATAAAAAAAGGGTTGGGGATTATTTCTTTCCCTTCTATTTTTAAAAAAGAACTGGGAGGATTGGTATTAATTGTCTTGAAATATCAGGTAGGATTTACCACGGAGCATCTGTCCTTGGCTTTTCTTGGGAAAATCCACCTTAAGCTCTTGGTTATGTTTCTTCATGAATCTGCCTTAGTGGTTTGTATCCTTCCATATGTTTGGCTGTCTCGTCAGAGTCACCGAATTTTTCTCCATATACCTTCTTAGTCAGTCATGTTTCCTTTCCCTGTAGAATTCGTTGCTACATTCTATCTTTTCTTTGACTCTTTTCTCTCTCTCTTTTTTTTGAGGGGGGGGCAGGAGCAGGCTACCTAAAGCTTATCATCTGTTTATCCTTTTGAAGAATCAACTTTGTTTTGTTCTTAATCTGTTGTGAATCTGTTCTGTGTTTCATTAATTTCCACACTAATTGGTTTTTAGTGTTCTAAATTTGTCTGTGCACACTTACCTTCTTAGTTGGTATTTTTGTGGAAAGAGAAAATCCACTGGGCTTCTACTTGTATGGCACTTCCTTGCTACCAAAGTGGGGCTGTCTGTCTAAACACACCAGCAGTGATGCCAGATGCTACCCTCTCAGCTATCTCATTAGTGGGTAAAAGAGGGAACCCGCACGGGATGTTCGAACTTCATTTTGGTCATTGACCCTACACTCACATCTTTGTTCAGACTTATAGTTGAGGTTAGAACTCCTTAAACTTTTCCTTTATAACCCTTTCTCACCCAAGAAATTTTTATGCAACTTTGGGCATGTAGATAGGTAAAAATGGTATACAAATCATTTGCTAACAACAAGTCAAGAAATTTATTTTAGAACAACTGTGTGGGGGGCATGTAGTTTTACCTTTTGTTACAGTTGAAAGCACATTTGTGTCCTAAGGAGATGGATGCTTTTTTTTTTTTTTTTTTTTTTTTTTTTTTTTTTTTTTAAAAAAAAAAAAAATTTTTTTTTAAATTTGTTTTTTTGGGGAAAAAAGGTTTTTTTCACTTTTTTTAGGTTTTTAATATTTTTTTTTTTTTTTTTTTTTTTTTTTTTTTTTTTTTTTTACAGAAAGAATGAAATCTTAGTTGAATATTGGATTCTGTGGTACACAGAGCTTCTTCAGCATTTTTCAGAGTTGATCAGTATTTTTATTTTATAATTGTCAATTTTGAAAATGCCGCTTTATGTAAATATATAATATAAAATGGTAGAAATGTGTCTGGGGTTCTTTCAGAAACTATTGGAAATTCTGCCCTAATCCCAAGCCAAAATTCATTGGACAGTTTTTTTATTACTGAAGTCGGCAACTCAAACAGTAATTTTAGAAACCAAGCCGTCTAAACATAACATATACTAATTTTGATGCTAACATGCTAAGAAATGACAGTAGAGAAATATGAAAAGTCTTTGTTCCTAGAATTAAACCATTATGTTTCTATAAGAGTACGAATCTTTGTGTGTGTGTGTGTGTGGTAGAAACACCGCACTTCATAACATATGTTAACAGTGTGCTTGTTGTGTTCAGAACAAAAGCTGCAGTTCTGTGTGTTCGTCTGAGTTTGATTTTGAGTTAACTTTGGTTACTGCATTCGGATTCCTTTTACTGTTCCCAGATCTTTCCTGACCTTATGAGATTGTAACCAACAGCATTCCTTCAGCTCTAGCAAACTAGAAAGACCATTCAGAGTGTTGGCCAAAATGGGTTTCCCTGAAAGCAGCTTTTCAAAAGCTCTACCCTCCACTGTGCCCCAGTGTGAGGTGGAGGCCATGCTCCTTCTCTTCCTGATCACATGCAGTCCTAGCTAGAGAGGGGATGGGTGGTCTGATCCGGGTCTTTCTGTGAGGACACCTGCTTTGGCTTACATATTTTTAAGAGTAAGCTCTTCTGTATCCTACGTAACTGATGGGACATGAGCGGAAGGAAATGAGCAGTGACTTTTGGCTAGGTGAACACATGTGTAATAGCATCCTGCTCAAGAAGCAGATGTTACCAGAGCCCTGAAGCCATCTTCATACTTCTCCCAGGGACTGATTGGCCTATTCAGAGAAACCCTGTCCTGATGATTAGCCCAGTGATTAGTCTAGTTGTTTATTTGCTTTGTTTTGCATGTCTCTCTCTGTCTCTGTCTCTCTTCTCTCTCTCACATGTGTGTGCAAGTGTGTGGTGTGGGTGCCTACAGATGTCAAAGCATGCCTTGAAGGAGTCATTACTTCTTCCAGCCTATGGATTCCAGGGATCAAACTCAGGTCCTCTGGCTTGGTGGCATGTGCCTTTACCAACTGAATCATTTCCCCAGCCCTCTGTCTGCTTTTGTGAAGCTGAATTCAGCATTCAGGGGGCTGAGGTGGGACAATCACTTGAGCCCAAGAGTTAGGGACCACCCTGGGCACCAACATAGTAAGACTCCATTTCAAAATAAGTAAGTTGTTTCATGATCTTCAACAATCATAAATCGTATATTCATTTATGTCTAAGTTTTATCTAATGTTCTATTTGAACAATTTACATTTTTTTACATGTAGCCGTAGTTTTGTTTTGTTTTTCCAATGCTATATGCTATTCTGTGTAATAAATGTCAGTATGTTGGTCTGTTCCCTTTTGGCCATTTGAGCTATTTCCTTATTCTGTTTGGGACTAATAGACTCTGTGGTGCTCTGAAGGTTCTTGTGCATGTCTCTCAGTATATATTAATGCTTCAGCTTTCATCCTTGTGAAAATTTGTTTGGTGGCTTGGATAATTACATGCATATTAGACTAGAAAATTAGCACAAACAAAGCAGGAGATTAAAGGCCACACTGTATCTACAAGGGGCTAGTGAGAAGGGGGTGAATGAGCACCTGTGGATGCAAGCCTTGGGTGGCTTCCCTGGTGGACAGTGGAGGAGAAGGCAATCTCTGTGGAGTAGTCTTTGGGTGTGAGCCTCCTATTGGGCTATGGAGAAGCAAGGGACATCTCAGGATCATCATGACTTTTGCTGGCAGAACTCTTTGGTCTCTTCACATTCCCTTTTTGAGTCATTGTGCAAAGAGGCCTGTCCCCTCCCTGGGTGTGTGAGATGACAAGCCACATGGGACTTATCTGATCACTGCATGGAGGAACACTCAACAGACTTGGGCTGAACTGATGACGTACTTCTTTCTTCATCATAAGGGGTTTGCTGAGCCGTATGAGTTGACAAAGAAGAGGAGCTGTGGAGAGGTCCATGTAATCCTCTGTCTGGACCAGCCGACCCCGAGCTAACTGCTCTCAATTCCTGTTGGAAGCCCCTCACTTCTCTGGGGCCCTCAGCTAGATCTTGGAGTTGAATCAGCTTCCTCTGGGTAGAGAGCTCAGGGCCACTCATGCAGCCACACAGTCATAGCTACTCCTCAGGGGCCACTGCCTTTACACAGCCATTCCTTATTGCAAAAACCCCAGGTGCCAGGAAAGCTAACATGCAATTGGATGTGGTTGATTTGATTTCTTTTTTACTTGTTCTAACATGTGTATATGGCAGGGGAACCATTTTTTCTAAAAACTTACTTGGAAGCCCTAGAAAAAACATGGTAACTGTCAGTGTCTTGAGGGTGCTCCTTCCCTGTGTCTTACAAATTATAAGATGCATTGATGAATTTGTCCAAGCTAAACACATTGATAGTTTTCCTGAAGGTCATCCCTGGTGTTGGTGACATGGCTAGGCTGAGCCTACAAACCTCCTACCCTCAGCCTCTCCCTACTTGGTCTTGGGAGCTGGCCTCATGGTCTGATGGTATCCCTTACCCTGCCCTTCTTACAGCTCTCTGTGGATCTAGCCCTCTGTCTTCCTATTCCCTAGAATGGACCCAGGGCACTCCAGGGTCTCCTCCTGAGGCACTTGGGCTCAGAGAAGAAAATCTCACAAAAGGAAGGCCCTGACAATTGTGGCCACCCACGCTGGGCTCTGTCTTGCATGAGCAAGAAGAAGAAGGAGTCAGAAATGGGTCTCAGGAAGGCTTTACTGTTTCGAGGGAACATTCCAGTATGGTTTTCAGGCCTGTGTCCTGTAGTTTCTCTGCTTCCTCCACCTTTTATCCCCAGCTCCGGAGATTCTCAGTGCCCATCCACCTGCCATACAGGGAGGGCCCAGGAAGTGGAATTGGATCTAGTTAATTCACTGCTTGTTAGCAACTCTGGTAAAAATAACACAACCTAGCATTTAAGCAGACTGAATGGTTCAAATGGAATTTGGAGATTATCCATGGGCTGAATTGGCCAGTGTTAAGTCATAATTAGCATGGCTTGGGTTCTCTCTTTTCAATTAGTCTGAACAATGCAGGACTAGCTAGCCATTAGAAAAATGGGTCCGGCTACCGCTTTATTTACAAGGTCCCAATGGCACATGAGCATGGCCAGGGAGTAATCAGAAGTGTTCTGTTTTCTGGAAAACCCAGTTTACCACAAGCTGACTCCCCAGAGGTTTCGTCTCTGGGCCCATCCACTGGCCAAACCCCAGGCTAGCTTCACCGGAGCCCTGCATGGCCCTGGACAGGAGCTAGAGATCCCCACAGGCAGCTCTGCAGGAGCGCCTGGCACTGTACTTCCTGTGTTGCTTCCAGGGTTCTCTGGTGCAGTAAAACGGATACTGGTGCTTCAGAAAGAACAGGATTTATAATTATCCGGTAAACGTGGGACTTTGCCTTTCTTTTTTTTTTTTTTCCTTTTAGAGAGGAAATCTCAATTAAATGATTGTTATGTTGTTCCTAGGAAGGTATAAATTTAGTCCTTATTTAGTCATCTTCAGAATAGGCAGTGTTCGGGTTTTTTTTTTTAAACCAAGTTTATTTTTATTTATTATAAACTCCTTTTCAATTCTTGGGGAAAAGTTGAGTTTGACCCAGTTGGTGATAACGTGCAGAATTCTACTCCAGAGGCAGGGGGTAGAACGGGGGGTGGGAAGGTGGGGGGTGGCTACATATCCCTAAAAGTGCTCACAGAACCAGAAAAGGAGGATATACAGGGTGAGGTTTGAGGTGTGTTTGGGTTTTTATTGTTTCCTAATCCTCAGCAACACAGAGCTTAAAAGCTAGACTTTCTTTTAATTCAAGATTTTAGAGTTCAGCCAACCACCAAGAGATAAAATAGAAAGACTCTTTCTGCATGCTGCCCCAGAATGAAACATGTGTCGAAGTTAAGAGAGCTCTCTAAATTCTTTCGGTTCTAGAAATACTGTGCAGGCCCTGGAACTGCTCTTAATCTCATCAGAATGACAGAATGAGATGAGTAGTTGGCAGGAGGCTGGTGAGAAGGGTGCTGTCTACTAGAACGTGTGCCCTTCGTACAATGACACGCTCAGCAAGCACCTTGTTATTTACAATGTTTCTGGACTGATTTTACTTTCTGCCTCTGTAATAAGTACATCTGTTATTTGGGCTTTTAACTGAGGTTTTTGCCATTTTCTCTCATCCATCAGCTTGCCACTAAAATGTGTAGCAGAAATGTATTAATTCCATACATTGCCATAGAAATAAGCAGGCTAGCTAATTCAAGTGTCCAAATTATCCAATGTTTTTCATGGAGCCTATATAAAAATGCTTTTAGCATTGCTTTCTGCTTGTAGTGCTGTATCTCTTGTTATTTCAAAACTGCCATATACCAAAGCTGGTTTTCTCTACACAGCATTTTTTGTCCTCAAGAAAACACTGAAGAGGCGCTGCTGTTACTGCTCATTAGTGAATCTATGGTAAGTAGAATGTGATTTCCATTGTTCTTCCTTCAGTCCTGAGAATCCCTTTTTTTGTTGTGGTCATTCCCTTGATAGGATGATTTTTGGCCTAGCGAGCAAATTTTCCAGAAGAAATGCCTAAGAGGAGGGAAAAGCAGGTGTTCTGAAAAGAAGGCCACCTCTGAGTCCCTGGTCAGCTTGAGTTCTCCTGCAATGGTAGAGAGGCCTCTTGGCTTATCATCCCTCTGTCAAATCTGATTGGCTATTAGTGTGTTCATCTATAAGGTAACTGGTGAAAATGGTCCCCACTGGAAGTTAGTCAGGGAGAGCAGCCCCAGCCTGTGCATCTCAGTGTGCCAGTTGTGACACGGTACAGAGATGGTCACTTGGGGGTATAGTCCCCTCTACTTTCCTGACAGGAGCTGGATGGACTTCCTGGTGCTCTCACTCTGTTCTTGCCCCTGCTCCTGATCCTGCAGGATCTCAGGCTGGGGACAGAGGAGGTGCCCTCCACGGCCTAGGTCTGCTTTCCTCAGGGCTGTTCTGGACAGGCCACCAGATTCCTTTGAAGTTCACTCTTAGTGTTTGGCTGGGATATTGACTTTCTGCCTAAACTGCACGTTTCTTGTCTTTTGGGCTTCTGCTATATATCACACTAGGGATGCCAGCCCTGGCTTCAAGCCCTGGGGATGCCACACTGAAGTTGTTAGAATGACCACAGGCCAGTAGTTTGTGCCTAGCACTTGAGCAGAAACACAGGTTCCTAGAGGCCAACAGGGCCTCCTGTCTGCTTTTCTCTTTTTACAGATGAGGACTTAAGGCCAGAGGAAGCAGAGGGCACGCTCTAGTGTGCTGGTTTGCTACACCTGTCTGTAAATTGTGTAGCTCCCTCCTCAGGGCTTCTAGCCTACCAGGCAGACCTTAGAGGAAAAAGAATCATAAGGAAAATAAGAAAAGTCCCCACCCTCCACATGGTGGTTAACTGGAGGCAAGAGATATGCTGAGGTGAACTGTGGACAGAGGGCCAGGAGACGGGTGCTATGTGCTGGGAAGAGGTGGCCAGCAGAGGCTAAGGCTTCAGTGTGCATAACTCTCTTGCCTCGGGGTAAAACTTGGGGTTCTCTTGTTCTGCAAACTGGCCCACAAGTGTTTACAAGAGAAGGCTGCTTGGGTTACTATTGCTTTCTACTGGGCTGCTATTGACGTCATCGGGCCCACTTGCTCTCTGGAAAGCAGGTTGCCTCTGCTTCGTCTTCCCTTGACCATCAGCTTGTAACCCTGGTGGTGTCATTCATATTCTCTGCTCTGCCTGGGCAGTGTCAGGGAAGACACATGGGTGACAATGCTGGCAATGGGTCAGTGACCATGTTTTCAAGTGAGCAAGGCTCACCTTCATTGTTACTGGTGTATGAAGGCAGCTCCAGTTGGCCTCCCAGCTGCACTGGGCTTTTTACAACTTGGCAGTTAATTTCTTTAGTGCAAGCCGGATTGTTGTGGTATCCAAGCTTCTTGGTGGGTTACTGGTGATAGTTTTGAGGTCAGGTGCTCCAGTTTGGAATTTGGAAAACATGGCCACATGTGTAAGGCACTTGTCCTAGTGTGGTGTCAGTGTTTTGGAATAGTGTCTTCAGCTCACCTACTCCTTCACAGAAGTGATAAGAGCACAGATAGTCAGTGCTGAGACCCTTTGAGGCAGTCAGGTTTGCCTCCATGCTATTCAGTTTCTGGAATCATCTCTTCAGGGGACAGTGAAGTCAAGTGAAGTCACAGCTTCCCAACCAAAACACATGACTCCCCATAAACCTCTTCTACATGAAGTTGCCCTTAAGGAGCTCCCCCTCGCCCCCGCCCAGTGTCCTTTGGCACTTTGATTTTTCATTTTTAGGACAGAAAATTGTGTGCTCAATTTCAGAACAAAGTAGGAACTGCCTTGTTCTTTGGCTGTCTGGGAAAATGCTATTCTTTATTAGTTCTGACTTTGACTTAGCAGCATAAGTTTCTTCACCGACTCTCCACCTACAAGAAGTCATTTGAAGGTGTACCGCTTCTCCCCACATAGCAGATACCTTTTCTCCTGGAGGATGACATTGTTAGATTGTCAGAAGTGTGTCTGCATAACCTCAGCCAAGTCAGATTTCTGGGGACTTGCTGGTAGATCTGCCAAAGGTTCTAGGCTATAGCTCTCAAAAGGTAGCCTAATTTCAAAAAAAAAAAAAAAAAGGATGTCTTAGGAATAGCTTGAAAACCTCTCCCACATAGTGTCTGTAGATTTGTTTTGTTTTCTTCCAGGCATTGGTCTCAGTATAAAACATGTATAGCAAATAAATACAGCAGGCCCTCCTTCCTTCAGAGTGTCTTTTGTTGGGCTCAAAATGAGCTTTGTAAAGAAAACTTAGAATGAAATCTTCAAAAGCAGGCTTGTTTTCATAAGAGATGACTCACTTTGTAGGAAGCGGCCCGTTTTATATAGTCTCATTTGGCTTTGACATTTAAAAGCCAGGAGTTTTCAAGTGAGTAAGTTCTGATGGGTGGCTAAAACTAAATGCCTTGGACAGACACAGAAAGAAGGCATTTTGCCTCATTAGAAAGAGGAAGGTATGTGTGTGACCTTTCGGAATGTCAGGCAGGAAGATTAAACATCAGCCTAGGGGACAAGTGACCCCAGAACCTCATGTACCATTCTTAAAGGGAATACGGTACAGGCCTTTCACTGCTCCTCAGACAGATGGGAGTGGAGACCTCTGTTCATTAGCAGAGCTGGGAGTGGGAGAAGCAGGCAGAAATCTAACTTTAGTGATTTAGAACTCCCTATTGGGGGGGAGAGAAAACAAGATAGCTATCAAGAATCTAGTCTGTGCAGTGTATCTGGAGGAATCTGTGGAGAAATTAAATTTTAGAGGCAGTGAAAACATGTTGGCGTAGGAGCATTTGCTTTTTGATAAATGGCCTGGGGAAGCTTGGCTGTTCTGGTGGATTTCTGCACCAAGCAGTGGAGATGTGAAATTGGGCAATGTTCTCTTGAGTCCTCTGTGGCAAAGTGAAAATTGCTCGCTTCTTATCTTGTACATCTGTTGTGTGCTTCCCTTTAGAAGACTAAATTAGTCTTGGAGGTCTGTTCCCATGGAGGTGTCATCCAGGGATCTGAGTGTCACTCAGTGACCGAGGGGGAAGGTTTGATTACCTCCATGGGACCATGGATCTTGATGACACCATTCAGTGATGGAAAGCACAGAGCTGGGAATTCTCTCCTGGTCCTCAGCATAGACTAGAAGGCAGATCACAGAAAGACACAATGGGGGGCCTCACTTGAAGGATGCTGTGACTGTGCAGCCCTGCTGTGGGCTGAGGCCCAGGCAAGCTCTCTACTTTGCCAGCCTCCCAGGGCTTCCTCCAAACACCTGCTGACAGGCTCACATCTGGCCTTCAATGTTGAGTCAATGTTGAGTTATCTGTGGTGCTCTGGGGATTTTGGATATATGACTTGAGGTGACAGGTCTGTTACTCATACCTTCCCTGTGGAGTAGGAGAGCCTAGGTGGCCTCCATGCCACATGGCAATAGTGGGTTGTAGGCTAGCTTACCATCTGCTTCTCTCTTCTATGTCATCTTCAGGCCAACCGAGATGCTGTGCTAAGTAGGATTCCTGAGCACAAGAGCGACCGCCTCATCAGCCTGCAAAGCGCGTCTGTGGTCTATGATTTACTGACCATTGCTCTCGGAAGAAGAGGCCAGTATGAGATGCTGTCAGAGGTACAGCTGCCAAATCTGGCTGTTTTCCAAGTTGGGGCAGGGTGGGGGCACATTTTTCCAGTCAAGATGACTTGGGGAAGGGCCATAAAACCTGGTGCTTTGTCCCTTCTGCCAGTGGCATATGCCATTGGACCAGTTACTGAACTTTGCTCTCCTAGTTCTGTGATGGAAATGATGATGAGCTTCTTCCTGTTGGAGGACTGGAATCTGCAGGTTGCAAGCGGAAGGTGGGCAGCGCTTTCCAAACCGGTGTCTCTCTGATTTCCTTAGAAAACAGTTTCGTTTAAACGATGGCTGTGCAACTTCTGATGACGTGCAGTTCCCGGTACTTACCACGAGGTTGGCTGGTAGAAATCCTTCCATGCCAGAAAGTCACTGTCTTTGTTTAGAAGGTTGTACTTGCTCAGAAGTGGACTGGTAGATTCCAGGTCTTGGGCAAGGGGCCGTGATGTTCTCATCCCCTCTGCTAGGAAACACTTAGGACAGACATGTGATGTTTTGGTTTCAAGTGGAGTTAGTTCATCTGAGCTGGGGTTATGCATTATTAAGCTCCTGCCCAGAATACCAAATTTCATGTTGAGGAGGCTAAAAAAGTCAGGAGACCAACTTATCTTTCTTTTAACAAAACAGAAAAAGAGGGACAGAAACAACCTATTTTGTTAAAATAAACTTTTCTGTGTTATTTATCTTTCCCTTTCTAAATTTATACCCATTGCAACAGCCTCTGGGCACGAGGACAGGGAGTGAAATACAGTAACAGATTGGCTGAACTCAGACCAGAGCTCGACTCAGCCTCCAGCCTGTGCTCCTCACCACATTAGGCAGGAGCCCAGGGAACTCATGAGCATGTGTGGCTTAACCCTGTTTTCAGTCTGTGGTTTGGTGGACTGTACAGGCCAATGGTTATTCAGCCTTCTGAAAAACAAATCCCCCATAATGCAGTGAGACCCACTTCAGACCTAGGGCTGTTCTCACTCAGCCTTCCTGTACGATTTTAGTCTCTTTATTCAAAAAGACACCAAGGCAAGACACAGGCCAGAGATAGGTTATAGAACCCAGCAAGCGCGGCCAGAACAAAAAGGGGGCCAGGGTCCCCACGTGCAGCCCCTTAAGAAGCTCCCTTTTGTCACCCTGTCTTTCCTTCACCACGCCCTTATGGGCGAGTCCCGGGTCCACCTGGAACCTGTCCCAGGACTATTGGGCGGGGCTAGAGTGTCTCCCTACACCTTCCAGTCCCCATTATGGGACCCTTAGTTCCCTGGGCCTGTATGTCCCTCAGAGACTTTTGGACTTGGTAGCATCTCCATGTTTTGCCTGTTGCAGATATAAATCAATTGATAGAATTATAAAATTTTTTTTTGGCATATACATATATTATCACTTGTCCAGTACCAAGGGCTGTGTGGGGCTGGGAATGCAGCTCTGAGTGAGATCTGCCTCTATACACTAGCAGTGACCAGTCTAGAGGTAAAGGGTGAGCAACAAGAGCTTACTGTACATATGGCTGATCAGGAAGACACACACACATCCTGTGATAAAGGTCGTAGACACATGGTCTCTTCCTACCTTTTACAGGTAGTTTGGACTTTTTCTACAAATGTAATGACTGCACTGATTCAGGTCTTCTAATGAGCAGTTTGATGCCATACCAGAAAGATGAAGGCTCCATGGTACCTCAGGGGAGGGGGCGCAGTCCACCCTCTGCTAAGCAAGAGCCCGCCCTCCATTTCATAACATCTCAGAATGGCCTGCTTGCCCATTTCCTCATTTACTGGGGTCTTCTAGAATTTCATTGACTTGTTTTTGCTGTTCTCACTTACCCTTCTACTTTTTCAAGATTTCTAGTTAAAACAGGAGCGGAACATCATTTGAGTTCACATATCAAACTTAGTGGTGCTTCTCTGGCACTGCATTTTTGCTGTGTTGGCTCTGTAGTGCCATAATGAGATTCCTGGAACAGGCTGCCCATGAAAAGAGGATTATTGCTTGATCCTACAGCCTTGGAGGTTCAGAGTCTATAACATAGCCTCTGTGGAGAGAGCCACTGCTTGGCTTTGTCACCTAACAGCAGCTGGCCTTCGAGAACAAGCACAAGGCTGCATCTCAGATCAGGAGCAGGAAGGAAGGGAGAGGCCAGGCTTGCTTTTTTTTTGGGGGGGTGAGTTTTCGAGACAGGGTTTCTCTGTGTAGCTATCCTGGCACACTCTCTGGAGACCAAGCTGGCCTTGAACTCATAGAGATCCACCTGCCTCTGCCTCCTAAGTGCTGGGATTAAAGACGTGTGCCACCAATGCCCGGCAAGGCTTGCTTCTTTCATTGCATGTCTCCCCATTTAAGAACTCACAAGGTTCATGAGAACTGCATCCTGGCCTGGTCCCTTGAGGCCCACACCCTATACACCAAAGTGCCATCCTGGACACTGAGACTGTCACTGCAATATACCCTTATACACACCAAAGCCATAGCAGCAACTATCACCTTTAATTCCTAAACATTTTATCATCCTACAAGGAAGGTCTGGCCTGGAGAGATGGTCCAACATGCTGTTCTTGCAGAGGACCAGAGTTCAGTTCCCAGCACCTGCACCTGGTGGCTCACAGCTGTTTACAGGTTACAGACATCATAACTTGTCTCAACATTTCACTCGTTTTATGGATGAATAATATCACAACTTGCTTTGGAGGTCAGCTGCTGGGTTGGTTCTGCCTTCAGCTGATTGGAATAGTGTCACGAGGGCAGCTGGATTTGCCTCTAATGTTCATGAATGGATTTCCACTCTTCTGTTTAGAAAGCCTCAAAGCTCCCCTTCTCCTTTTTTCTTTCTCCTTTCCTCTTACATCAAACTTTGCCTGGATGTTTCTCTTTCTGTCATAAGCAACAGCTCTGCATGCTCCTTGAAGAATCAAGCAATACATATAAACCAAGAAAATAATAGTCACTTAGAGTCCAGAAATCCTGAGCTAGCTGCCTGACCACCGCATCTTAGAGACACCTTTAATCTTTATGAAGAACAACCTGGTGTGTCAATGGTGTGTGTGTGTGTGTGTGTGTGTGTGTGTGTGTGTGTGCCCACATAGGATAGTGACATCTACATTTTATGGTAGCTAACTTCCTAGCTTCTTCTCACACTGGTGTGCTGCCCATCCTGCCTCCCTCACCCTGAAACCCAGGCTACCTCTCAGTAGTAAGAGGACTTTGGTTTGAGTTCTAGGTCTGCCACTTCACAGTTGTGTCATCTTAAGCCATCATTAACCATGTCTCCATTTCTTTTCTGTAAAATGGGGATGATGCTTATGTATGACTCAGACAGAGGTAGGCAGGGGGGTGTGTGTCGGTGTGTCTATGTGTGTGTGATGCATGCACATGAATAATGCTGGTGCACCTTCATGCAGACACCAAAACAAGACATCAGGTGTCTTCCTCTATTGCTCTCCAGGCCGTTTTGAGCAGTGTGATGAATTCTTGCCCCATCCTGCTCTGAAAGGAGAAAACAAGAAAGGTCTGCCTGCTTTTGGGCTATTTAGTGGCCATCTCATTTATCAGATTGACCATCAGGCATGCCAGTGTTGTGTTCTGTGCTAACTCCCATACTTCATGGCAACCCTGGAGGGCATATAGAAGGAAACAGCTATGTAGGGGTTGGTGTGGGCCCCTCTCTAACAGTCATCTGCCCTGACTGATCAATCAGTGAGCTGGCCATGTGTGCCCAGAAACAGTGTGGCATCTTCCTTTTGTGCTCAGAGCACTACTGCCCCAGGCCTTTGGGAGGGAAGAGGCTTTGTCTTTGAGCCTTCCCTCTTGTTCCTAACCAGCCTCAAATCCACAAGAATAGGCTTTCCTTCCTTTTGGCTTTTCTCCTTGGCCAATCAGGGCCCACAGGCACCAGGAAAATAGAAGATAGTGGCTCTGCTGTGAGTGGGTCCCCTCTCCTGTCACTGGCACCCTCAGGCAGCGGGTATATCCTGAAGACACTGTAGAGACCCAGGCTTTGAAAATCTGACAGCAGGGCAGGGGGCATTGTTCCCTCTGTGCCCCTTTCTTTCACAATGCTTTTTCAAGATGGAGGGAGGGCTGCTCTCTGAGCTTAAGACTGGTTGCCTTAGCATGTACCCACATCAGCGTTTCTTTTCTTCAGGGCCCTGTTTACCCTTCCAGTGGGCATGAGGAGTGAAACAGTAGAAAGAAAGCGAGGTTTATCATGGCCTTTCTCTGACAATTTTAAATATGAGCACCGTGTTTACCATTGCTCCAGTGCTGAGCTTTCATGGTTTTTTCAGTACTAATTGTGAGCCCTGCTGAAAAGTTTGTGTAGGAAGGAACGCTCCTTTCTCCCCTTCAATTTAAACAGCAGCCCTAGTTGGCATGACAATCCCTCTATTAAAAGTGAAGCCAGGAGCTCTGCTTCCCCTGTTTTCAGAATGAACCCAAGCTGCTAAGGAGGTTTGTTTCTGGAGTCTGACTATTAACAATTCCACTTTGATAGAATATTATGGGGTCTTTTGGAGATGGTGTGTGTTCCCCCTACATAGACATGGCAGCTTTAACGACAGAAGGGATATTTTTAATCTTTCCATTGAACTCATATTCATGTGTTTATGGTAAATCTCTAGTTCTGTGGGTAGAACTGTATGGTTAATGACTCTACCAAAATGATGTTTGTGCCTCCCCAGTCTAAACACTTCTGATATCAGGGGACTGGAAACGCTGACCACCTCCAACCCTACTTAGTGGGCCACCATCAGCTAAGGGGCCTCAGGGCTTGGCTGCAGCCTGCCTTACCCTGGGCACCCAAGTAAAATGGCGATGTGTGAGGGTGCCAGTGCAGACAGTATTGACATAAACATAGGGCGCAGTCAGCTTCTCGTGGGCCCAGGGAGACCTTGCTAAAAGACCAGTGTTCTGCAGCCAGTGTCCACTCAGCTTTTCTTGGGTTTTGGAGATATACTCTCCTAGAAGAGCAATGAGTGCATCTTCTCAGACTGTTACCAAGGTTTTAGGGG